TTTAGTAGCTCAGGGAATTTATATAGTCATTAAATCAATGCGTATGAAAAACAGTACGAAAAGAAACCTAACTTGGTTTTAGTGAGAGAAACAATAGGCCCTTGTGTCATGAGAGAAACAATTCCCAACAAGGACCAGGTTCTATGAAAGATACTGGTGTTTATTATATTCACTCAGAGTGAGTTATGTGTAGTTTTAGTGAAACTTTAATAGTCTCACTGCACCGACAGAACATCTTAATGCAACAATTTTTTCTCAGTTTACCCATGGTCTACTCTCTGGCTTTAAGAATATTTCTAGATACTAGAATAGACTTAAAATGGACACGTATATGTAATGACTTATATTTCTCTTTCTTTAGTTGTCTGAATTTTGGAATGACTTCGGCAACTTCTAATGACCTATAATAATAAACAAAATTACATTATTTTAATCATTTAGGTAGTTAATGGTTTGCTCTTTAAGTTGTTTATATAGCGAAGTCAATAATAAGGTACTAGATATGTTATGTACTCTATTATAAACTAGTTATCGTGAAGAGGTTCTTTATTTATTTTTTTATGTCTATTCATAGAAAAGCTGAGATTTTAGAGAGGAAACGGCAGAAAAAGCTCAGACAGAAAGAACACAAGGCAAAGGAGCAACTTGAAAACGACACAGAAACTAAAGGAAACATAAGCAGCGCAGGAGAGGATGTATCACCAGGAGAAGCATCTTTGGGTACATGCGACTTCGATGCACATAATCCAGATATTTTTGCGGATCATTCTCCTCCACCACCACATGTAACTTCTCACTGCCTAGACACTAATGATGTTATAGAAAAGGATACGCTGGCAGGGTATGATGATTGTGACACTGATCAGTATATAGAGCGGCAGACACTACCAGCACATAATCGCCCGGGCACAGTGCCTGCCAGATGGCAAGGGCTACCAAAATCACAATGGGCTAGAGCCAATGGTTTGAATGCAGGCCAGAATTCTCAACTGACGAAGCTTGGAGTTATTCAAAAGCATAGAACCAGCCATGATCTTAGGGCAGCTCCTATAAACAATGGCAGTAAGGTTTGGAGTCGAAAACCTAAAGCAGAATCTAATGATTTGGTTGTAAAAAACAAACTGCTGAAAGAACCAGACAAAGTTAAAAATCATGAAGTTTTGATAGGATCTGTATCAGTTAGTCTGGGTAATTCTTGCCATTCCAGAGGTAATTTTATGGCACCCCAGCGGGATTGCTCGGCGGCAGGGAATCTGTCCAAGCTCAATACTGCTCAGGAGAAACCAGGAAGCAACGGTCGTTTAACAGCTAAGTTTTGGAGGCCTGTTAGCCAGCATGGAACTAAAGACCCATTTCCACTTCAAAATGGTGGGACAGAAGCTGATGCTATTAATGGAAAAATTGATGAAAATTCGTCTGGTCAAAGTAGTTTAAGGTTGTGTAGTGTAGAGGGTAATGATGATATTGATTTTGGGGACAATTTTTCCCATAATGTGGCAAAAGTAGATACAGAAAGCTTACGTCTATCCAGCCATGCTGCAGAATCCTTTCTTGCCCAAAGTAATCCTTACCTCTTTCTTCATTATATTGTTCATTTACTGTACTGGCGGTGTGATTATTAAGAACCTGTTTGTATATAAGCTAGAAGTATTTTTGAGAGCTACTGTTTTTTCCAGTTGTGAATTTCTCAAAAGCTCTTCTAGCTTTATATTCAAACAGACTCTAAGTGCTTGGCCTGGTCTTAAGTTTGCTTATTTAACTAAAAATTGTGATACAGGATGGAAAGAAGCTATCTCATCGGACCATGTAAAATTGGTTTTCACACCTGATTCTGAGCCTCGTGGAGGACAGTCTGTCCAGGATTGTGAACTAGCAGCAGATGCTTCTGATGCGGACAGATGTGGCGTTCTTGCAAGTACAGAGAACCTGTTGCCTGCAACCTCTGGAGTAGCAAGATCTAAACCCAAAACGAAGCCTGAAAAAGGAATGAAGATAAAGTACATTCCCAAACAAAAAACAGCAGCCTAGTTGTGAGAGACAAAGAAGAAATTGGGTTATTTAATTATGACAGATATGCATAGATTGACTTCTCGCCAATTAATTTATTAGCAGAGGTTCCAGTTTTATCGAAGGTCTTCTGTCAAAAAGTTGGAGGTAGGTTTTGCCTTAAGGTTTTTTTATATTCCGTCCTTTTCCTTCAAATGAAGGTATAATAGGGGATTGTGCATTAAGTTTTTTTTTCTTGTGGCATTTTTTTACCAAAATTTTGTGTAATAAATTTGTCTAGTTATTATTATAAAAGTGCATCCTCTTGTTTTTATGGTTATCACTTACAATACAATCTTGTCCCACGGGCTAAAAATTGGTCAAGCAAGCGGCCTGTCTCGTGGGGTAGGCTTACTTGTTCACTGAAAGTGTCTCAATAGTTTTATTGTGGATATAATGCAGAGAGCACAACAATTTTTTGCCCTGCCACTTTATTTATCCCTTATTCCTGTTTTAAGCTGTTTTATGGAGGTCTCCCTTTGGCGTATTTAACTATTATATAATTTTGTCCAGGTCTCCATTTCATTTTTGTAACAATATTTACTCGGGAGAAAATCATTATTTTTGGTTAAAAAGTTACTATGGATTCGCTTATGATCTCTCAGCCTAATAAGCTTAGTTCATAAGATTGATCCACACAACTAAGTTCGTTTCATTCTTAGATTCCTTTATCTGATGGATATCGACCACAAAAGGCATTAAATTTTATATTTTTTAATTTTAAATATAAATTTAGAAAAAAAATTAAACTATAATTTAAATAAAAAATATGCTTAATATAAGTTTAGTACCAATACATTTGTTTTTTCTTCAAACAATTAAATTTATATAAATTTAACAGTAAATTAGACGTCATAAGTTTAGGTGAAATGAATATGCATATAAATAAAATTAAATTTCAAACAATTTTTTAATGATTAATACCTTTTAATTTTATTTTAAAATTAATTTATCGTATGCATCCATTAATAAATGAGTAATTAAAATACGCTTAACCCTTCCGTGTTGAAAAATAGTTTGCGTTGCTAGATTATTAAGTCGTCCATATATCTAATTCAACTTCTCTTTAGCGAGATATTTTTGGATGAAAAAAAAATGTATACAAAATTCAGCTGCATATTATCTAGTCATTAGAGATACTAACAGAAATACAAGAAATGTAAAATTCAACTATTATAAAATTGGAAGTAAAATTATAGAAGTTCTTCTGAAATTTATACTTATTTAAATAAATTAAGTTAAGTTTCAATTTTAGTAAATCAAATTAAATTGTAAAAACCTGAAAAATCTTGTTTTATAAAAGATCATAGGTTTAAAATAATAAGATTTAATTATTTTAATAATAAAAAATTAAAGTATAAATAGAATTTTTATAAAATAGTTTTATTGTCTTAAAATCACATTATTTGATCGAGTGAGCCAATTGATAAAGTAATAAAAAGAGAATATCAATTTCAACATTGGAACAAGTTTCATTTTTCCAAATCACAAAACTTTATTTGTTGTTTTCTAATACAACATTGAGCAGTGACAAGATGGTGTTGAGCGTCAATTTATTGTGTAGGTATGAGAGCATCTTAGCTCCAGGCTGCTGAGCATAAGTTTGTAACGTTATAAATTATGAAGGCTTTGGCATTAAGTGGTAGTAGGTTAGTATTAAGTGTTATCTTTCACTACATATTTGGAGCAATTTAGTTCCAAGAAGCTTAGCTGTAGAAGGATGTTGTTGAGGACCATCTTTTGCGAGAAGAATCAGTGTCACCTTTTACGAGAAGCCCGACGTTGGACACCACTTCTGAGTGCTAATATGTTTTAATTTTTCTTTCTTCCTTCGCTATTTGTGATACAATTGCAATGTACTTTGTGTATGATGTTTATTCATGTATGATACTGTAATGATGATGAGTATTGTAATTGTGTTTGTCTTAATTCCATGAATCTCGTAAGGAGATTCTATAGTGGTGTTTCACTAGTGTATGTATTGATATAAGGATTTAATATTGTGAGTTATCATGTTATTCTAATAATCATCCAATCTCAAATATATGTGGTGAGAGGTGTAGGAGGTCATAGTCTAGAGACTTTACCTTGATCAAAGATGGTTGATAGACTAACCTTGTATGTAATAATTTGGGTGGACAAATTGTTTCACCACAATAAAATATATACTCACGAGAGTCTGATATCAATATATGTATATGAATATTGAGTTTTATGTGAGTCTTCACATGTGATATGTTTGTTTTAGTGAATGAATGGTTTGTTATGATAACTATATGTATGTTGTTTGAATATTTTTTTTTCTTTTTTCACATTAGCTTACTATTTTCCTTTGTGTTATTTTATTTGTATGTTCTATTTGCTTGCATCGAGAACACCTTAATGATGTGATCAAATGATGATGTAACGCTTGATGTAGTTTAAGATAATGGTATATTAGAATGATATTATTAAATATGTTTTTTTTGAAAAACTTTATTATAATTATATTTTAGATAATTATAATAATATTATATATACCAATTCATAAAATTATATATTTAAAAAATAGATTTTTAAAATTATATTTATAAAAGTTTTTGTCAAAGCTAAAATGAGTAATCAATAATAGTAAAATGATAATTAAATAAGAAAACATTGTAAATCAATCTCCTTAGGATAAAATTAGTTAAGATATTTTTATCCCATTCCCTGTTAATAACATGTTTCACAAAAATTACATTTATTTTGTTTGGATTAGGGATAACTCACAGAAAAAATAAATCAGAAAGAATCTTGATGATAATTTTCAGTGACAGCAGTCATCACAGGTCTTAGATATCCTTGTTCATTCGAGTGCCACGTCCACAATTAATTAAGTACACGTGTCACCATTATAAACCTAACCATGCCACGTATCAATCATCCTTATCATACTCACATAAACTCCCCTTCTCCACCGCTAACCATTCAGCCCTTATCTTGCCTTCTCTCTCAATTTCATGTACTTAACACCATATCTGGTTCATTTACAATGGTAAAAAGCTTGCACCTTTTTCACTTATTCTAACCATTTTCCATATGTGACTCCTTTCTTCATTCTCATTTCGCTGAAAGAAAATCAAATTGGCCTTTCTTTGACACATTTTCTCAGCAGCTTCACAAACAAAATGTCTGGTGGTGTTGGTCCAACGGGTTCTGACATTAGCTTACCAAGAGAAGAACAAGTTCACAAAGAACATGAAGAACATTCACTTCACAAAACCATCACCACACCAAGAAAATCACGTTTCCCATCTTTCCGGCATCTGAATTGCTTGGCCGTGGTCATTGTCCTGTCTGCAAGTGGCATGATTTGTCCTCAAGACTTTGCTTTTGTGGCCTTCTCCGTAGTCTACATGTTGTTCCTGTCAAAAGTGGTTTTCCCATCTCTTCACCCATCAAAGGAAACCACAATTTTCAACCCACAAAACAAAATGTTTGCCCTTTATATATTTATAGGGGCCATCATTGGACTTTTTGCCCCAATTGCATATATCTTAGATGGAATATTTGAGGGTGATAAGGAAGGGATCAAGGCGGCAGCACCCCATGTTTTCCTCTTGGCCAGCCAAGTTTTCATGGAAGGGGTGACATTCTATGGTGGGTTCTCGATTCCAATTAGAGCTTTTGTGCCTATCTTTTACAATTCAAGGAGGATCTTCACCATCGTGGATTGGCTGAGGAGTGAGATCAACAAGGTTAATGAAGAGCACAGTGGGTCTGCAAGGAGGATCTATGTGGGGAGAGTGCTTGCCGTAGCAAATATGGCCTTCTGGTGTTACAATTTGTTTGGATTTCTGTTGCCTGTTTATCTTCCTAGAGTTTTCAAGTTGTATTACTCTGCTCCCAAAGAGAAGGACTGATCAATGACAAACAAGGAGGTTTGCTTTTGCTTGTTAATGGTTATTATGTAATTTGGTTTTCTTCAACCTTAATTTCCTGTTGGTTAGTGTGTGATAGTATTTCCTTAATCAATGTCTTTGGTCTTAGATTTCTTGTTGCTGTTATTCTTCTCCTTTTACATAACAAGTCAATGTTGTTGTTTTAGTTCTTTTTACATAAACCAGATACTGATATAAGTGACTGCTCTTAAATAAATGTTAAATAAATGTTAGAAGTCTTTTGTAGAATAAATAAATTTACTCAATTCTCAGTTCTTAAAGTTCCTAATAGAATTTTGGTTTCACTTCTTATCCACTTAAAGTGGTATGAAGAGATCATAGAGCTAAGTTAGAGGGAAAAGAATTATAATATTTGACATATTATAAATATATTTTAAATTTATAATTTATTTTTAAATTATATAATTGAAAATATATTGTGAATTATGTAATTGGTAATATATTTTTAAATTTGTAAAACAATGTGTCGAATTCTAAAAAAAGGTTTAATAGTAAATATTTTAATTTGTTTAACACCAAATACCAAGAGTTTATTGAGATGAAGGAAAAAAATAATTTATTTTATTAAAAAATTAAATATATTTTTAGTTTTTTTAAAATTAATATAAAAAATTAGAAATTTAATCTAATATTAGAATTTGTTTAAAATTTTGATATATTTTTTAATTCAACTATATTAAAAAATTTTAACTAATTTTTAATTCAATTATATTAATTTTTTTAACTAATGTATTAAACGTATTTTATAATCTATTAAAGGTATTTTATATTAATATTTGACATGTTTATATTATTTACCACATTTTTATTTTAATATAAAAAAATTAACATAGTGAAGAAAGGTATTTTGACCAAAAAAAATTTTATAACCCGATTACTCTTCTTTTCTTTATTTTACTATTTCCTTTTTCTTCTTATTGTGCGTTATCGGAGTTTTATTTTCTGTGTTTTTCTCCTTCATAAGCTAATAGTTTTTTCTTTTTAATCATTGATTTCTCTCCTTCATAAGCTAATAATTTTTTCTTTTTAATCATTGATTTCTATTGGTGAGAAATTGGTGAGAAATTGGTGAGAAATTGGTGAGAAATTGGTGAGAAATTGGTGAGAAATTGGTGAGAAATTGGTGAGAAATTGGTGAGAAATTGGTGAGAAATTGGTGAGAAATTGGTGAGAAATTGGTGAGAAATTGGTGAGAAATTGGTGAGAAATTGGTGAGAAATTGGTG